ATCAGAGGAGGATTTCTTCATGATTTTTGCTATTATTACTTCATGTTCGAAGTATAGAGTATTAATTTAATTTTATCAAACTAGTAGTGATCGATAGACCGCGGTTTTGATTGTTTTTTGTAAAGGTTTGCATCGAAAGGTTTTTGAAGTCCCTTAAAAAATTGCTGAGTAAAACGTAAGTCACATCACGAATTTTATATCTAGACTCATTAACTATCTTTATAACAATAATATTGATCCTCTTAATCCTAACCTATATAATTAAATATAAAATGTATCCTGTTCGATCTGTATCTTGATGGCTGAACATAAACAGGTACCTACCTAACGCATTTGTAAGCAAGAGACTACAAGACCGATAGTGAAAACACAGGCCGTAGTTTCATTTACCGTTAGCAAACGGTCAGTGGGCCACTTCTTACCACTATTTACCATTTATTGGGCGCATTGCGCTAAACTGTCTGTCATACTTCAATTGCGTTACAGAATTAATGCAATGTAGGCCGAAGAAACATGTTTAGATAAATACTTTTATGTTCTGAGTAATTTTTATAGAAAATGTTTCGATTTCGCCAAGGTGTTCTAACGTTAATAAGTTATCAGTGATCTTCTGCAAAATATTATTAAAATATATTAATGAAATTTGAAATAATTTAATTATTTGAGTGGTATCCTTTAATAAATTTATTCGAGTTAGTTTATTTGTATACAGTTTAGTAAGGAAAATATCTTTTACTAACTGCGTCCCGCGGTGTTGCCCGTAATTTATCACATACATTGCTCATCCCACGGGAACACATTTTTTTCTATGAAGAAAAGTAGCATTGTTGTCACCTCCATACCAAATTTTATTAAAATCGGTTCAGCCGTTTGAGCGTGACAAACATATAAACACACACACTCTAAAATTTCGCCTTATAATGTTAGTGTAATATATGAAATTTATGGAAGATGTCCTTTACCTATTTTTTTTAATGTTTTCGTGATGCCTAGTTTGAGTTAATTGAGTATCTCGTGATTCCATGTCTGATTCGGTAGAGGCTCAGATAGCATAATAGTTACGAGTTCAAGTTTGGAAGGTTCTCTACGTCAAGATGTGAGAGTCTTATGTGAGAGTCTTATATAAATACTAAGAATTTATGTTACTTATAAATATCATCACATCACATCAACAGCCTATAACAGTCCACTGCTGGACATAGGCCTTTCATTAGAAAGGAGGTTTCGGCCTACTATACCATGCTGGCCAGACGGGTTGATATAGGGTTTTTGCAAGTTTTCTTTTCTTTACAGTGCTGTTGTCCTGCGTAGTTTGCTACCTTAGTCGGCTCTTACGACACCCACGAGACGAATAGGGGTGGTGAAATTCCGTATTCTTAATCCGTCACCACACGGACCTGTTTGTTATATAATTTTGATAAATATGTTGTTTGTTATTAATATTTATTCGAATTTTGTCCGTAACTATGATGATTTTTGTTGTGTCTTTTTAAGTTCGTTATTCGTTCAGGAATGAGGTGATCCCGCAGAGAACCAAGGTGACCGACATAGCCTACCGGATAAGCAAGCTGAAGTGGCAGTGGGCTGGCCATATTAGCCGCAGAACCGACAACCGTTCGGGAAAACGAGTTCTTGAGTGGAGACCGCGTCTCGTCAAACGTAGTGTAGGACGCCCACAGGCCAGGTGGCTGCCAGGAGCTGGATGCGAGAAACCCAAAATCGATCTAAGTGGAGTGTAATGGGAGAGGCCTATGTCCAGCAGTGGACTGTGATAGGGTGATGATGATGATTCGTTCACCGTAAAGACGTCATTAAACGACGAACGAATAACGGTGGTTTGCGTTTCTGACTAATAAGACAGATGTTGAATCAAACCAAGGACAAATATTGTGTAATGTGCATGATCATTTGTTCTGTGTCTAAGTGTAGTTTATCTATATAGTGTTTATAATTGGAAATTTATAGTTATGTTTTTTTAGAAATATTTTTGCCCTGTTGATAGCCATGGGGTGATCTCTGTTATGTAAGTAACGTGGGTATTTAAATCATATTATTAAGTTAAGGAAACGAATATTTAAAAAAATTACTGTCGTCGTCGTAAACAGATCTAAACATAATGAAATAAAAAAAAAGTATTTTTCTAGAAGTGTGGAGTCTTAAATATTATAATCATTGTAAAAATATTATATAGAATGTCGAGCAATGAAAGTTATTTACCTCCGCAATGAATATATGTAGCGGACGTGTTTTTTGTACTTAGTAATTTAGTCGTTTCATAACTGGACTAATGTATCAAATATAAACTTTCATTTTTAACTAGCTAGAAGTCTGTACGCTACATATAGACTTTCATACCTCTGCGATTTTTATATTTCTAATTTATGATTTAAATCTACATAATTATAATAAATTTTACTTTCGTTGCTGTGGCTCGACAAAAGTTATTAAATTACTAAACCTCCTTAAACTGCTGACTTTGAATTTGGCGAGGGCAAATTAAATCGGATTTAAATCGCAAGTTACCGCCTGTGACACGCAATTGGTTTATAGAAATGATTTTTTTTTGCAATCCACGTCACTGACTTTTCATTTGCATTGGTAACCTCGTATTGCTATGCTATTGATCAGACGGGCAGTGCTTTTAATTCGCATAGTTTGTGTATTAACAAACCACAAGTCACTCTATCAGAAATTATTTTTTGAGCAAAGTTGTCAGACTTACCAAATTTTTTTACAACGTCCAAAAATGTCTCGACGTCAAATCGTAATGACGGATAATCAGCCAGACGTCAGACGTATTCGTATTAACCTTGAACTGTGAGTGCAAGAGCGAACAAAATGGTTATATTTCCTCACATTTCCCACGCTCATCAAGCTTATCTATCTAATCGTAAACATTGCTGTTCTTTTCCCAGGGAGGTATAATTTGACGGACTAGCCTCATAGAACTTGGATTGTAGAAAGTACGAGTATGTGTTTTGTAAATGTCTAGGTGTTATTTAGTGTCACCAGGTCTACTTATCAATACAATACAATCAATAAAAATACATTATCAATTTTCTGGTTTCTTGTGACTCTGATGATCGTTAAATTAAAATAGTAAAGTTACGTTTTCAAGACCCATGCCAGCGGCGTCATAGCAATGCCTTCTACATGACATCAATGTAGTTCAAATCTAACTCAATTTGACGATATTGACTTGCGTCAATCGTGAGAAACAACAGAAAGTGTTTACCATGCTATTCCGTGAGGACGAATTCTCCATCCCATTGTACCTAGTATGCTACATATTTATAGATGTAACTGATGTAAGCGGTAATAACATCATGGGGAGTAAGAGTAAACGTTAAAAGGTTTTCATTTATACGTTTATTATTAATAAACATAAAGTATACTGTTACTAAGGAGTGTGTATGTTCTCTACTGCAACTACAAAAACAATTATCTCCTTGTTAACAAGGTAATCATGTTAACAAGGAGATAATTGTTTTTGTAGGTATTTTTATTATATTTAGAAACTTAATCAGAACTTCGATATGTTAACCATGTGATGGTACGTGGTTGTGTTATACATCGCATGGAAATATTTCTTCACCACATAATAAACTATGTTTCTCACGTTAATTTCTATGCAATGTATATCGTTTCTAAACACCTGCAACTTATACATTCTTAGCCTCAATTCTTTGTAGACTTCAAATTCATTGCCACAATGCTTATTGTTTTTTTTTACATTTGATATTGCTTAAAGTTTATATATACCTAATGAAACTATTGATTGACGAATAGTGCTTTCCTGTGCTGTTTTTCTAAAAAAAATATTTGAGCTTTTAAAAATGATATAACAATAATCATTGTCGACAATTAATTACAACGTTAGTAATTTTTTTTAATGAATAAGTCAAAACATTGAAAATGTATTCCTTTTTTTCGCCTCCCTTGCAAATTAATTTAAATTTAGAACGGAAGGGAATGGTAGGAACGCTACGAGTTAATATATAAAAGCATGATAAAATTGGTAATTGAATTTTCGTATCCTTCATATTGTCTTTTATTTTCAATTTTTTTCTTAAAATATTTGTCTTTGGAACATTGATTTTTTTGCCATTAAAGACGAGGAGCTACACAAAAAGTATGAATTCGAATTTTTTGTGAAAATAAAACTGTATAACCATTTCGTAAATAACAATTTAAAACAGGAAGACTCTCATTACACCTACAGTGGCAATAATGGAAATGAACAGACAATAATTATATTGCACGTAAGTTACATGTAATATGCAGGCTTCGTTGCATTGCACCAGGGACTTCCTTTCTAGGGTATACCTGGTTCCCCGGCTATTAGTACGGGGATTTCCGCACGGAACAAAAAAAAAAAAAAGTCTTCGTTGCATTCGCAATATCATTAATGTAAGCTCATTCGTCTAATGTACCTGATAATGTTAAATGAAACGTGTAACTAGTACCACGTTTAATAAAGTGCACTGTAAAATTATTAAAAGGTCAATTGAATTCCATTTTTTATATTAGTCACCATAATGTAGACCATTTACAATTTAATTAATTTACCTAATCAGTTAAATACATATTATTTACAATTAAAATGAAATATTAGAGAAGTCAAGAAAAAATAAAAAAAGTTCAAACTAAACTACGACAATAATGTATATGTAAATAATTTTGAATTAATGTAGATTATGACAATTAATAAAGGTATCCGGGAACCTTTGACCTGGTTTCTAGACGATAAGTACTCTGTTGTTTTCTTGATTCTTGGTAATGTTTAAACAAAATACGACGAAATCGCAACAATAGACGTTCGATTTTACATTATTAAATTTGTACTGAGATTTTGATCCCCCTCTTCGTGCATGAAACTATGAAGTAGCTGATAAATGTCTAAAATAACAAATCTGATATCCACACTGCCAATCACAGATAACCTTGGTTTTTGGGGAAATGCTTGCCTGATATCAGCACTACAATCACGGTTGTTCGTCATGATGGACAACGTTATTATTCGTCCGACTACACTACGGTACGTAAAAATATATTTTAATTAAAACACATCACCTTTTGTTATTACATTAAAATTATTTGAACACGAGCTTAGAATAATATCTAAGGATGCGAGTATTACTATTTGTACTACGTGAACTGTGAAACTTTTTAAAAGTACGTAAACTTCTCTATACTAAAATCTGTTGCCGTAAGTGAACACTGCAGCCATCCATTGTGATTTAAACTTTTCCGTGGAAGTTTTAGAGTCCGAAGTTTGCCAAGAAGCATCTTTTACTTGCCCAACAATGTATTTACTAGGTCATTGCTATTATCGTCCGGAGAAGAGTCAAACAATATGCCTTCACAGTTTAAATACAGAATGGAAGTATTTTGTTAGAAAACCTTTTCGGTGAGTTATTATTATAGGTAAACATTTAGTAAAGGGCCAAAGTATTGCAAGTGCGTGTGTGTTTTAATATGCTATTTTAAGAAGTAGGATATGGGCGTTAGAGCTCTGTTAATTTGACAGTAAAGTAATTGTTTGTCGCTTAAGATCACGCGCACAGTTTGTAACGAATATTACCAAAAAAAGCGCCTCTAAGTCGCACTAAATTAAACTTTTATCTAGCTCTCGACTGCGATTCGGCCCGAATACGCGTTTGTGTAAACCTTTCATGGCGATACCTAAGCACAGTTGTATTATCAAATGATGATGAGATGCATCACTCCGCGGCCGGCGAAACGTAAAACGGCATGACATGCTGTTATATTGAAAAGTAGGTAGGTGTAATAGTTTTGTATGAGGTTTAATTTTTTAAGTCTATATGTTTACAATATAAGAAATAATAATTTAGAACTTTAAATAGTTGTGTTTGAAAAATGGAACTTGCGCATTAGTCCTTTTCACTCTCGTGACAGTGCGTATGTCACGCGTGTACTACATTGTGGTAACTATGAAATTAATCACAGACGCCGTATCATGTATTGTGTCTGTAATTGTACATACATGTACCTATAGCTAAATGTTCCAATAACAGTAAAACCAAAAACCTTTAATGTAATATGCTTATTTATTAAAGAGACTTAACCTCCTTTCTATGCAGAGGCCTATGTCCAGCAGTGGACTAGTAAAGGATGTGGATGAAAGATACTTATTTTATTGTATGTATGGGCATTTTCAGATGAAGCGCGATGTTGTCTATGCGAAGATTACTCAATCGTATGTGGAGGATGTATACTTACTGCAAATCAAAATAACATTGACAAAATCAACAAATATCCTACCAAATGAGGCTTATACTGTCTTTCATCAATTCTTTCATAACTGTCCTATCGACTCAATTTATTCGGCAATTATGCCCAATTTTCGTTATTAAAAAATGTACATGTAATGATACACGTAGCTATGTGATGTATGTAACTGAGGTGAGAAGTAGGCCACAGTATTGTATGTAATAGTCGTACAAAAGACTGTAAACATTAAACATCGAACTGACAACAGAGATCGATTCGAATGAATGTTACTTAGTACGTAAGGTAAGGTATAAATATATGGTGAGGCTCAGCTGCAACACACTTGATTATCTTAGAAAGGTCTCAGAGACCAATTTTAAAAGTTATGTTGAATAAACCGTTGAGATTCCCAACCACTGAACTCTACAAAGAAGCCGAAGTATTGAATATAAGACGATTGTACATATTTCAAGCCATCATTTCCACACATAAAAACGTGTTAAACGCCCCTGATTATAATAAAATGCTCAAGCAAAGAATTTTTAAAGTCCTTGTTCCTAGAAACAAATCATCCTTCGCAAACCGCTTTCAAAAGTTCATGTTTCCATTTATTTACAATAAGGTTGTCAATAGATATAATTTCAAACAGGATACAATACGGGACGCTAAACTGAAAATCAGTAAAATCATGAGCTGTCTTAACCATAAAGAAACCGAACAATTGCTAAAAATCTTAAAATAAGAATGAAAACTGACAGACAGACGAATACACATACTTAGACATGTACACACAAACACACACACACACATAGCTCCAAGTTAAACTTAGTCAATTAAATAAATATAGATTGTAGTAAACTGCGATCTCTCCCTATTGTTTCATATGAGATTTATAAAAGATTCTAATATTATTGCTACTGTCCTAATGTATAATCGTTTTTGTATTGATAGCCTCGATACAGGCTAAGCCTAGTGTGGTTATTATTGTTAAACAAATTTTGTAAATCTTTACTTTAAATAAAGTTATTACTATTATTACCTACTATTATTATATTAATGGGCCTTTTGCGATTTATTGGTAAACATCAATGAGGCTCATGAAGTTTCTTACCACCAAGAGAATAATTTTTCATTAGGTATTATTACAAAACCATACTCATAGACACGATCAACTAAATATTTTCACGTGTGTGACTAGTAAAAGTATTGCTGTAGGTATACATATTCGGAAAACAAATACAAACTGACACACACACGTACACATCACATACTCGTTTGCACGTACCGAGCTGCCCCGTATTCCTTTATTCATGAAAAGGGAAAAAGGAAAATGGGGCTCCATTTGACACGACCGGGTGTGTTTGCTCCGCTTCATCTGAGATTCTAAAGCATGCGCAATGCGATTGGTCGTAAGCTATACAGGTAACTACCATTTGAAGTAAACGTTTAAAGGAAAGAACTTGCCACAATCAGCATTAACAAATTCACTCAAAGCAAGCATGGTAATGTCGGCAAATAAAAAAGTTAAAGAAACAATCTCTTTTTGTTACAATACATTTTTGTTAATGATATTAGTCTTTAGTTACGACTTTGTACTTTGAAATAGGTAATAAAATACCAAATTCCAACAAATTCTTTCGAATATAGTTTTTTATCAATACTTATTTTAAAATAACACGTTATAGATTAATAACATCAGCGTAAAGACGTTATATTATTATTTAACTTCACTGAGACTCCAACTCCAACGAGTGGAGCCCATAATGAACAAGGAAAAGATAAAGGTCATAGGTAATGAAACTAAGTCTAAGAGGAATGAACGGACTCGTTGCGAGTCCGATTAGCACTTAACCTGAATTTTGCATTTTCGTATGAAGCCACCTCGTGAACTTGTTATGTCGTATTCAAACGACGTTCTGTCAAGGCCAAACTATGGAAAGTATTTTTTAGTCTGGTCCAGGGCTTCGAAAAACGCTGCTAGCAATATCGCATCTGGAAAAAGTAAGTCACCTGTTCGTTTTTAGCAATGAAAGTGTTGTAACAGTTCTGAGTGTAACATAAATCCGAGACACGTTAGAGATTGCTCATAGAGACCATGTAAGCGGTGCAAATAATACACACCGGAACAGTACTTAGCATTTCGTAACAATAATTGCAGTGTTGTTTTTCTAGAGCACTTCCTTATTAAATGGAACGAACGCTTTTGTGCAGCTCATTCTGTAGTTGTGCATAGAAACAAAAGGGCTCCCATACCCGACGGACAATAGGCAAACAGAACTTATTAAATAAACCTGAATATTGTACTCAGAAGATCTTTTATTTTATTAAAATTTTCCAGATTTGTGTAAAACCTGTTATTCTTAACTTTGTACTTACGTAACTTCCTATTTACTATATATTATTGTAATATTTACCCAATTCACTAAACAAAAGTAAATGCACAAGTGTATAGCTGAATGGTTATGTCTATTTATTGTGGTAAGAATATCATAATAGAGTAATATCATATAAGAGTAAGTGTGTAGGTATCAAGTATAAGTAATGTGTCTATGACATCAGGTGCGATGTACTCGGAAGCTGACATAAAACTTTCTAGCCCGACATCCATGGAAATCAAGTTGTCTGCGTTCCGTCAGCTTTCATGTACCACTACGGGGAGATATTGCATTCACATTGGAACGTTCGCTTTTTACTTGTACAATATTCAACACGTAGAAAGAGTTTGTTAAAAATTGCAAGGTATAAAAATACTGGTTTTATACTTTTTCTTATGGATACGAGAAATGCTAATTTACGATATAAGATATTGGTATCTCTGCAATAATTTCGTTATAAGTCTACAAAGAAACTATTTGTCTGATGAAAAAACTTATGAATATATAGAACAGCAGAACATTTTTGGTAGTGTTGTACGACGTACTCATTCGCAAGGTTTATTTAACCCTTCAGACTTATCTATGCTGCTAGACTTTGTTTAACAATCTTAACAGGAAAGCTGATCGGATATCGCATCAAAAATCGTATTTAATGAATATGGCATAAAAATAAAAGAATATTGAAGATTTACCTTTAGCCAGCTTGTAGACTCAGTGCTAAAGCAAGACTTATACTCGTACTTTTTCTAAAGATAAAACATGTGGTATATGCTTCACAACATAAAGTAACATGCTTAAAATAACTCATAAAAAAGAAAACATGGTGTATTTTGCTGTGAAAAACTGTTATTTTTATTTTTTATTATCTCAAATGTTTTGTGGACATACTTTTACGAAGTCCGGCTTTGAGCTTTGGAAAGCGCTCGTAACGTTTAAAAATGTAAAGGCAAAGTAACCGCAAAACTCGTTTTCTTTACGTTTTTATATTATATATTAATTATGTAATAATCCGAACGTTTAATAAATTTCGCTTCGACTTCTTATTGCAAGTAATATTATTAAGAATGTTAAAGGGTCTGCGGTAAATTTATTAAATAACTTTCTGAGGGCTTTGGAAACGAAGGTTATTATAAAATTATGGAATCCTTGAATAATATATAAATTTTACACGATGTATTATTCTGACCTATTGTATACATATTTCTTTAACAGTTCATCATTTATTAACAATAGAACACGCAACAGTGAGTTCGAAATCTGATAAAACAAACTGAGTGTCAGACCACCAGACAGAAACTAAGTACAGTTACAGCTCTGGTTACTTTCATTGTGACATTTTATTGTGTACGTTACCCTCGGATCCTTTTGTTCTATTACCCTACAGAAAGATCATGTTTATAAAAATCTGAAGGATCAGGTTTTATATCAA